AGACTGTAAGCCCTGGGCACTCTGAAGCTTTGTCACAATGTAATTTTTTATTTATATTACATGGTAAGCCAGGGTGCAAGCCTACATTTAAGTCTAACCTGTCCTTGCATACAAATTTTAATGTGCTCTGGCACCTTGGAAGGCAGAAAGTCCAAACGATCTTGTGCAGTCTGCTTTGTGAATGGGATGGGCATGAGCATGGCTGTGCCAATCATAATATATTCCAGAATATCGTATAGCCAACGGAGAACGGACGAGTGAGCTCAAGTTCCTTCCTAGAAGGCTTTAGTGTTGGATGCAGCAGGGTGCCTTGATCTGAGCAGGCAGCTGAGCTACAGATATTTGGGAAACAACCGAGTGCCGGTCAAGGGGCATACATTGTCATAACCCAGCTTCTGCCTAGATCTGGTGAACTACAGAAACATCGCTATTCGGATCGGGATTCTTCCCTGAAGGTAGTTCAGACTGGCTAGGAAGGTTAAAAAAAATCTTGAAAAAGCAAGTCCTCTTTGACTAACAGCAAGAGACAGTCTATGCAGTGCCACTGCACTAGCTCAACCACTTAAAGTGTGATCAAAACCTAGCAAAACCCCTCTACTTGCCGAGATTTACTGCTTCACAGACCAACAGAGCAAAATGCAAAAAAACCAAGCCTCCCTGGTTCTGTCCTTCCCCTCTCCAGTCCCCCTGGATGAATGGCCCTTTCCCCTCGCAACGCTGAATAGGCCAGGTGACTCCGAAACCAGCCACCCAGCAGATGCTTCTGCAGTACCAACTGTTCCGAATCCCCCACCCCATCTCCAGCTTTTTATTTTTATTTTTTTTCCCCCCTTTCCTTCCCCCCGTGTCCTACCAATCTAGGCTGCCTGGCACATGCTGCAAGCTGCAGTCCCACTGGAGTGATATTGTGATGGAAATGAGGGAGGGGATGCGGGCAGAACTGCACAGATTTACAGCACTCTAAGGGTTTCCATTAAAATCCTTGACAACTTGTTATTTATGAGTAGACCAACAGCTCTTCTAATATCCAGGGCCTAGACCCCATTCACTTCAATAATGCTGCTTTGGAATAAATGAGCCAGAGGATGGAAACCAGTTCTGTTAGTATAATGGAGGAGGCTAATCGCTGTTTAGAGAAAACAACTGATGTAATTCTGGGACCCAATCCTTTCACCAACAAAACAATAAAGGTTCGATTCTTCCCTGCGTTTCACTAGTGATTTAACTCAGTACAAAGAGGGTGATAAATGGCAGCGTTTGGATTTCGTGCCGTTATATACCCACTGAGCGCTCTCTATTTGTACCAGTGCAGCGGGGATAAAGGGGCTCATTGACTCCTGTGCGAGCAGGAATAGGGCAGTCTGGATCTCCACAGCAGAACAAAGATAATGTGTCCTTACCAAATAATACAAGGCACAGAAAACCCTTCTGCATAAGTGGGATATTTTAATTTTTCACTCTCATGGGCCTGTGAGGGTTTCCTTCCTGATTTTTCTGAGCTGCCCCACCTAAGCCAGTGTGGCAGTCTAAGTGTCATTTGAGAACATTTTTTTGGCCACCGTTCCCTTCTCTGCTCCCTTCCCATCATTGACATGTCAAATACAGAAGCACTTCCACTAAGTACAGGACTGATCCCTGAAATAAGGACTCCGATGATCAAAACACTCTAAACCCCTAGATGTGCATTTTGCTGCTGTAAAGAATTATCGACCTCTTCTGCCGTGCCTTAAAATCAAACTGACAAATTGATTACTGAGTGTAACCGCTCAATTGCTGCTTTGTACCCAGCTTTCCTTTTCCTCCTTTGTTCACCTGCCTCTTGTCTGTTTACATGCCTTTTGTCAGGAATCTTTTTATTTCCTTTCTGCTTCCTCCGCTCTCCACGAGAGCCTCATTAAGGTGAAGCCAAGAGAAGCAGCAGCAGCGCTCCCAGACTGCGTTCTGCGGGGTGAAAGGCAGGGAGAGGCAGCGCTGCCAGATGGACTCCACGCCTCCACCTCCCCCTTCTCCGCACCCCGAACCTCAGCGCTGTGGAACCAGCTTCTTGGAAAATGAAGGCAAAGGGTCTGACAGAAATGAGGGAGAAGCCAAAGGACCAAGGAGAGGGAGACGAGCTCTCTGAGGCTGAGCGGGTCTGCTGGACGAGGGAACAGAAAATGCTCCGCTGCATCGGAGCTGTGATTGCTCACAGAAAGCAAACTGGGACAGTTCCTAAACTGGACCGAACTGATAAGCCCTGTAGAGGTTTAAAAATATATATATTCACAGAGATTTGGCCCACGAAGTATGACTTCTGCCTTTTAGATGCGTTTCTAATGACTGCCCATTCAGAGTTTTGGTGTAAATTTTGCCGTTTTAAAATAGCACTGTCTCTTTTGAAAATGTATTTCCAGGTCCTTATCCCATACATATCAGTGTAACACTGAATGTCATCCAAAGCATAATTATATCTAATTATCAGCCATTTGAGCTACTTCTGTATTAAACCGTAACATTGAGATAGGATTGAAACCTCTTATGATTCCAAAGGCAAAATACAGCAGAACAAAGGTAATGCTGTAAATTACCAGCAAAATGAAAACCTGGTCAGGAAATATATGATGTAATTTGTGCTTGGGGGTAAATTGGTCCCTGGCTGCCCAGGACAGGGAAGCTGTGACCTGCATCAGGCCAAAGGATAGGGCTGGGAGCCTGAATCTGTGTCATTATTACAGAAAAAAAAAAAAAGACAAAAAGAAGACATAACCTTAAAATACTTCAAAAAGCCAGCATCCTCATGAGATTTATTGCAGTCTGACCCCCTCTGCCGGTCACCCGCTTGCTGCCTGTGTCCCAGGGCCGGCACCGCAACACAGGCACCGAGGTTGGTAGAAATGACAGGAGCAGGCAAGTGGAAAATGATGGGCAAAAAAAGGGATAGAGAGGCGATTTGGGGGCACCAACACTTGGCACCAGGAGCTCAGGGACAGAGATAGCATTGTGACATACCTCCAACCCAGGTGACCGGGTTTGGGTTTAGGATACGAGCTGCTAAAGACAGAACTAGCAACAGCGTAGAAAGGAAAGAGATCCGATACCTGGCATTTGGGTGAACTACAAGGGTCTTAGTGAAAATTGCTTTTGTGTCTCCCCACGTTTGAGCTGCTTCTGTCAAGATGCAAAGCAGTAAAAGAAAAAAAATGTAAATAAGGACGTATGGGAAAAGGTTGGAGGGGAAAAGCATTTTCTGGAGAAACAATGGGACTTTTCCTGAGGAAACGAGTGTTCACTTAAAAACGAGCTTCACTTTGATGGAATGTTCAATTGTCAAAATGGGGATGAAGCTATTCCAGGAATGTTGAGATATACTGTAGTGATCGATAACGTCCAAACACGGACAATACCAAGTATTTTTTAAAAACCTATTTATTGTCCACAGTGAGGAGCTTTTCAGCTTTTTCTCCTAGCCTCGGGGAAAAGGTGTTGATCCACTGGATGTTTCTGTGACACAGCAGAAATTCAGCCAGCTCTGGGTTTTTAGCTCAGCACTGCTGGGAACAGATCCCGACAAACAGATCCCATACAGATCATTTTACTTTCCTGACTCATCCTCGTTATGCCATACTATCCTTTGGCCTTTGTGATACATTCCCATGCTGTGAGGAGCCAGTGAGGATCAGCCGGTGAAATACGTGCTCTGGGTTAAACAGGAACAGTCCCAGTACCCGTAGGGATACCACGTTGCATGCGAAAAGTTCTTTCAGAGATGTGCTTAAGTACTTTGTCAGACAGAAGCTTCAGAAAGCAATTGAAAGCCTGCAAATAGCTCCCTTAAGACCTCATCAATTCCTCCGATTTATTTCTTTAAGAATGAACAGACATTGGCAGCTTTTTCAAAGATTTTCTTCATATAGCTTTTATTTTTTATTTGCAGTTATTTCCTGTTAGAGGTTTTTTAAATAATGCTTACCAGTATAGTACATCTCGAGACAGAAAGACTCTAATTAAACCCAGATTGACAAAAAGTTTACGTGTGTAGAATCAAAACAGTAAAACAGTTTGAACTCTTTGTAACTCTTAATATTCTTAAAACTCTGTGTAAACTTCTTAGGATTTTCTATTGCTTCAGTAGCAGGAAACACAGTCCAAGACAGCTGAATAATTAACATTTACCCATTTGTGTTTGCACAGAAAAAAAGAGCTGTTAATCATAAAGTGAAAATCCTGAAGCAGAAATAAAAATAGTAACTGGATAATCTGTGCACAAAGCATTGTAATATCCCAAGGCACTTAGTTTTGAATCACAAGGGTTTGGTTTGAGAACAGGCTCTTCTTGGTAAATCAAGAAGGTTTAGAAAAGAGAAATAATCCAAATGAATAACTTCCTCTAAATGAGGATTCTGACCGAGAGACCATTTATCCTCTGCGCTGCCAAGACACCTCAGCTATTGCTTTTCTATGGGCTCCAGGCCATACTGACCTTCCCTGTTTCAAAAATGTCACGTTTTCCCCCTCCTGAGATGGATGGAGAAACAAGTGCATGTGCCTCACCCTAAAAATAAGCTGCTTCTGGTCTTTGGTTAGCAGCCACAGTGCTATATTAAAGAATAAAACCATTATAATAGAGATACATCAGCCCAGGAGAGAAAACGGCCGCACTCCGTCCCATCGCTTGGATCCCCACCGGGATGAGCGGTGACACGGCCAATCCTGTTTGGAAGAACTGGAACCACATTCAACGAAATTACTGATTAAAGGACTTGTAACACGTTTAAGAATGTATACTTGATCCAAGGCAGAGGACTCAAGCTTGATGACAGTGATTCAGCTTCAGGGTGTGGATTTCTCACCTGATTTACGTGTTGATCACGGGCTGCATGGAACAGAAAGAATTACAGTACCAGTGGCATAGTCTTGTCTGGCTGATCTCTTTAGCATGAATCAAGCCTATACAGTGACTTTGGTCTATTCTATGCTGTGGCCTCTGCCACCTATTCTACTGAGCATATACAAATTCAGAGCTATTCCAGGGCGTGACAAAAAATATGGTCATCAAACACCTGCTTATTGGACTTTTCAAAGGTCTCGCTGCAGACCGGGCACTCCAGAAGGTGGCTCCGCACGTGGGTCTCGTACTGACTCGTTTCAATCTCGTCAGGAAAGACTTCATCGCACATGGGGCACTTCCTTACAGAAGCCTGAAGGAAAAAAGCAAATGCAAACAAAGTCAGTTTAAAAAAATTATATTCAAAGAGAAGAAACAGCAAAAGTTTAGAAGTTGGGTATTATCACTTTTGGACAAGTCTTTCTGACTCCTAATGCTCTCAGGTTTTCCAACGTCTCCAGGCTTCTCTAAATAGCACTTCAAAGTCAAGAGCTTCTGAGAAGGACCCTAACTTTCCATCCTACGTAGCACATGTCCGTGCCTCCAGTACGACATAAGGTATTTAGCAGCAGCGTGCTGCTCATTCTGACATTAGATGCTGCCAAGAGCTGGTCCTTAAAGATTAAGGTCAACAGAGTTTCCTTTCTCTTCCTTAAGACATACAACTCCCATTAATTCTACATGTTAATCATATGTGGCCCCATTTTGTTGTCCACTATCTTACCAGGACTAAACTAGTAAGTAGCCAATTGGCTACAGAGCTGAACTTGGAGCTTTTCATTTCGAACCACTAATTTGTGCCCAAAACCCACCAATTCATGTCCAGTCGTGTCCACTTTACTTACTACGTCTGCAGCTCCTGCCCCCAGGTTTGCTCCTGCAACTGGAAAGAGAAGAAGTCAATTTAGCCACCACTAAACGATTACCAACGCAATGTGCTGATAACTAGTAATTCCTGAAACATGAGGATGTGGCTCTGGATCTAAACCTCTATATTTAGGGCTATGGAAACTGGCCATAAGCCACAGAACTAGCAGTTCGCAGCTGAATAAACTAGCTAATAGTTGTCTCTCTTGGCAGAAAATGAACAGACAGCTGATGACTTAAGTCAACTCTTCACACCTGGCAGCATTTTGCAGCTGTCAAGTCATCTGCACGCATGCAAAGCCGCACAGAGGTGCTGCTAATGTCTTTTGTACAGCATTTGATTCGAGGAGGATCATTTGCTGAGACTCTTAACTGCCACGGATTTGCGGTTTCAGACAGAACGCCAAGTACTCTCACCACAATACGGATTTCCAAACAGAAAGCCGCCTCCTTCAGGAGCTGCAATTGGAGCTTGAGCTTGTGAAACAACACAGAAGGAAGAAACTTCTCTAGTCTGCGAGAGCTGCCTCAGGAGCGCGTCGTTCTCTTCCCTTAGTTTCTGCAAAGGAAGGGACAGAAGGGCAGAGTGGACTTCCAGAAGCTCAAGAGACCATTTCAGAGAAAAGTCGCGCTTTGCACCAACGTACATCCTCTTACATCAGAATCAAAATTGCTCTGAGCTTCTTTCAGGTAGCTCAGTGTTAGTCCTGCTTGACTGACTGGGAACTCAACACCAGACTGAGAGATTAGCGTCGTATTCGATACAGGAGAAAGGCAAGGGACTTGTGCCAAGTTCTCACCTGATTTTCCTCATCAGCTTCATTCTTTTTTGCCTGCAGAATCTGAGACAAACGCTTCTGTTCCTCAAGTTCTTTCATTAAGTCCCGGTTTTGTTCCTATGAAGGAAGAGTAGTGTGATTTGGGAACTCATGGTAGACTAGCAAATCAAACGGTGACAGCTCCAAGCACTGGAGCTGCCCTTTTCTTTTATATCCTTCACATTCCTTCAAGGAGTGATTTCCCATGCTGAGGTTTGTGGATTATTTCTAAAAGGTCTGCAGAAGTTACCCAAGAAAAACAAACCTTAAATTACACTTAAATTTGTTATATGTATAGTCATCTGCAATATCACCGGGAAATTGAGAGGGTTCTGCAAATTGCAGGAAGGTGGAAAACAGCGATGTCAGTGAATCTCAGCTCCCTCTGTCCCCTGTGGGACAGACCACCAAAGAAACTTTGTATTGTTTACAGCTTGTTTTGGTGCATTCTGAGCATATTGCATCTATTTTATTGGTCATTAAATGCTCAATTTGAGATATTAAAGATGAAAATGAGACAAAAACATCAACAGAGAGAAGAGAAGAGAAGGAGGAGAGGAGGAGGAGAGGAGGAGGAGAGGAGGAGGAGGAGGAGGAGGAGAGGAAGAGAAGAGAAGAGAAGAGAAGAGAAGAGAAGAGAAGAGAAGAGAAGAGAAGAGAAGAGAAGAGGAGAAGAATTTCATAGGTTTACATTTTCCTAAAGAACCCAGGTAACCAAAAAAGGAACTCATACACCACGTAGTTGCTCAGGATGGCTCAGTTCTCTGCCACAGGCAAAGCAAAGCAAAGGAGGGCACCTATATGTTTGCTACCTGCAGCTGGTCCACGTGATCCAGGGCTGTTTTCAGTCTGGTTTCCAGGCGTTCTTTGTCAGAGGTCACCTTCTGAATTTGCTCTTTGAGTCTGCTCACAACAAATCAAAACACACCATACTTTCACAGATGGAAACTGAATCCATAAAGGCAAGGTGCTTACATGAAATCCTGTTCTGAGATACGCTGTAAATACACTTACTGCTGCAGTTCTGCCTCTCTGCAGTCATCCAGCTCCTTTAGATGTTTATTTTCCTTTTTCAGGGAATTCAGCTCCAGCTCCAGTTTCTCTGTGTTGCTCCTTAGAGACTCTAAACTATTCTGCAGCTCCTGAAAATCACAGTGAGGTTGACAGGTTGACTCAGCCCCTCTTCATCTTTCAGACTTCAAGCTTCTAACTTATTCTCTTAACTTTTTTGTTTACCTGGGCCTTGCTGAGCTCTTCCTGCAGACCGATGTTTTGTTGCTGGAGACGTGCACAGCTTGCTTTCAGCTCCTCATTGTCTTTACGTAAATTTTTATTTTGTAGTTCAATCTCTTCCACTTCTCCCTGGCAAACAGCAAACTCGTTCGGTCATAACAGAGGCACTGAGAAGCTAAGTTCCAAAAGCACAGTGCGAAGAGCAAAGAAAGATGAGCTCTGCAAAAGGGAACACTGTATACCTCCCCGTGCTCGAACACTGAGCACACACCACCCTGATCTTTGGAGATGCTCAGCGCTGCAGAATTCCGCAGGGGAAGAGAGGACACGTACCTGTGTGGTGACCACTAGGATATCATCCTCAGTCTCTGCTCGGAACTGGAAAGGCACACTGGCTCCCCGGACCACGCCGTCCTGGTCAACGTAGCAGAACTGGTAGTATTCGTCATCTTTCGGTAGGTAGTAAGCTTCAGACAAACACAACAACCCCGTCATATACCGCTTCTAATTATTCAAGTCACTTAATTACATAGCATGGAAAGTGAGAACCTCAGAAAACTGAGACATCCTCGTTCAGAATTGTTCCTGCACCGTTAGTAATTCCTGGTGCCAGTGACGAGAACGCAAACAATATCACTCAGTCAAGGTGGCAGAATGTAGCAGATTCCAAATTTTGTGATTTATTACAGGTTTTGAAATAAATCTCCCAAAGCATGGTCCTACAGATTATTATCCGACTATGGCGCTTATCAGTGGCAGCAAAGTGGGAGTCTGTGCGTGCGTGTCCGTGTGTGCAGAGCATAGACATCCCCCCGTGACCCAAGCTCCCGACTCACCTTTGAACTGGATCTGTTGCTGCACAGCGCTGCCACTGCGGGTGTCACCGGGCAGGGGAGCCCACATGAATGTGTAATATTCCCGGGTTGTTTTCCACCCCACCTGCAACAGCAAAATTGTTAGATGGCATCGCACCATTCATGTTTATCCTACGGTAATATTTCCACACAGATCAGTTACTGGAAGGATTTTTGCATCGATATCCTGACTTCTAAGAATTGTGGTCTGTGCAGGAAAGGATAATCAGAGGGTTTGATTAGCCTTGAAGCTGTTCAGGTCACAACTGGCCTGTTGTCCCCAGGCACAATGAAGATGTCCCATTACATAAGATTATTACTGAAAAAAAATTCCTCAACCCTGTTCTACCAAAGCCCAAGCTGTCCGTTTCTGCCTGCTGCTGCCTTCTCATCCTTGGCACACGTGCTTTCACAGTATTCACCTACCCGGAAGATGCCCACCCAGTCCTTCCCGCGAGGAACGATGTTCTGCGTGAGGGTGTAATAACAGGTTATGTCTCCTCCGGGAACGTAAAACTTCTCCACGTTGTTGAAGACGACCTGGGAGAAGTGGCAGTTGTCTAAGAGGACAGCAGTAGTGGGCGGATCGTCTGAGGTCTCATCCATCGTGGAAGTCTACAAGAATCATTGAATCATAGAATCAAGGTTGGAAAAGACCTCAAGGATCATCAAGTCCAACCCAACACCACCTAACTCACTCCCCCATGTCCCCAAGCACCACATCGACACGTTTCTTGACCCCCTCCAGGGATGGTGACTCCACCACTTCCCTGGGCAGCCTGTTCCAATGCCTGATCCCTCTTTCAGTGAAGAAATTTTTTCTAATATCCAGCCTAAACCTCCCCTGGTGCAACTTGAGGCCGTTTCCTCTTGGAAGGAATAAGGGGATTATCTCCAGATGCTGAAGGGTATGAAGAGGTTCAGCTTGGGAATGACACAGCTGTGAGGTCCAAAACCCCCTAAGCACACACTGGGGTTTCTCAAGACACACGAGCTCACAAGTCCCTGCCGCTGCAGCCAGGCTGCTCCTGACACCCACGGCAGCTTGCAGATCCTCTTTCGCAGACATCTTTCCTCTGACCGCTGCTTCCCAGGCACGGAAGCTGTCCCAGCGTGGCACAGCCGTCTCTCTCCTGCGTGGGACCCCAGGAACCAGACCCGCTGACTATCCCACCCATCTGCTCCCCAGAAGAGGCAGCAGTACCACGCAGCAGGAGGAGCACGCGTGCCTGCTGGTGGGACCCCACGCTTGAAGACCCCGCTGGAACGCCGGCTGTCCCCACATGCAGCCTCACATCATGTTTTTACTGGGATTTGACACTCCAAACACATCCCCCCATTTATAATTAACGTGGGGGTGCTTTATCCGTAGAGCAGCACATTGCTTGAGAAGAACAGACGTTTCGCTGCATCAGTAGCATAAAGACAAAAATAGGAGCTTGCAATCGATCCTGCCAGGAGCTCCAAGACTCGTGCAGTCCCAGCCCTGACACACTCCACCTTCCCAGGCTGTGGTGAGACACACCAGACACACTCATGCTGCTGATAACCAAACTCAACAGCCTCCTGGTTTTCCACATTCAAATCCAACGCAACGACTTGACCTCCAAACACAGGATCTTTCGTCTTCAGCTTCCTGGCTCCAAGGGCAGAGAGGTACCTTGCTAAGCTCAGTTCCCATGGAAGAGCACAAACGGAGGAGATCCCGGTGAGGCAGATCGTCGCAGTTCCGTCTCGCAAGCCTGTGTCCTGAGGCTATTATAGCCTCGCTACTCGTGACTGCTACGCTGAAACTGCAAGATGATTCTCGGTATCGAAATGAATATATTGCATGACAGCAGGGTCAACAAACAGCATTAAAGCTTTTGCGTGAGTTATCTACAAAGGAAACTTTGCGGCGTGTCGTGACACCACAAATCACACAGCATAAATCTCTAGTGGGTGAATCGATCCAAACAGTATCCGAGCTGCCAGGAGCCTAGGCAGGACTGGAAGCAGGACACTAAATCACCCTCTTTGCCGCTGCGTCTCGCAGGCAGCCGGCGTTCAGCCCTGGCAATCTGTCAAGGGGCAGATCACTGCCGAGAAAACCCAGCCGCCAATCCCGGACAATTCAATTCCAGGAATCCAAAGCAGAACCTTCTCAGCTGATCCCAGTGACAGCAGCAGCAAGGATCGACCTCGGAACGGAGGGAAAGTTCATCATGAACAACCATCCCACCGGAGCATTTCAGGTCATCTCCAATCCAGACGTTTCACATGGAAATTAACTCCCTGGAACCCTTCTTCTTTTTTTTTTTTTTTTGGCATCACCCAGGAGATCGTCTGTTTTCTGTGCCAAAGATCAGCCTGGAAATCAGGCAGAAGTTTAGATGGGGATTGTGGGGCTGTTCTTGGAAAGAAGAAGGTATCCACAGCTGGAAAGAGCAGCGATAACTGCACTGACACAGGCTGCCTCTGGAGGATGGAGAATTCTTCCTGCTGGGAGAGGAAAGCAGGGCAGACCCTAGCAATGGATGTGGTGCAATCCTCCAGGACACCCCGGGCTGCAGCTTCACCTTTAGCTTCAGTGAAGCATAGGAAATGGCACGTGATTCATCTAAGCCTCATCTTTATCTGGCTGATGTCAATCTTACCTACCCTGATGTGCCTCATGATTTGCAGTTCCTGAACACCAGGGACCTCTTGACAGCCACCAGACAGAAAACAAAACAAAACAAACAAAAAAAACCCCAAAAAAACCTAAGGACAGCACCTTAGTCAGGTTATTGCATTGCTTCAGGACAGGACATGAACCCTTGCAGCCACAAGGCTTAAAAGCAACTTGCAAAGAAACGAACAGTCAGTGTCTGGACGCAACAAAACAATACATCCTACTGCAAAAAAATGTGTTGGTTTTGGTGAAAATAATTGTGATCTTGAAGGAAAACAAACCCAGCGGCCATGCAGAGTGTGCTGATGGCAGAGTCTGCAGTTCACTTCCAGGAAAAGATGTCAGGAAGCAGAGAGGGGAGGACATTTATTAACGTTCACCTTCGGGGTGTTAACCACTGACGGGCAGTCCCAGCTGACGAGGTATCGTTACAGCTCCCGCAGAGCGGAATAAATAACGCTTCCTCCGGTGTCCAGGGCCTAGCCTCTCTCCAGGGACTTGCTGGGTGTTTTCTGTCGCTGTTTCCTTCTTCCATTCACCTGCAGAGCCCCCAAAATGCAGAAAAACACAGATTCCCCTTTCCCAGGTGAGACCAACTTCCACCCGCGGCTGGACACCGGGGACCGCGGCCGGGATCCACCGGGGACACCCCG